GGGAGGCGGGGGGGGGGAGGCCGCAGCTGATCGTCTTCGATTCACGGATCAATAGAATCCGCGCAACCGAGACGAAACGGTTTTTCCACGGTTCGAAACCTAACCTCAAAATCGTGACCGTTCCGTGCCGCGCGAGAGCGCGCGCGGGACGGAACTTGTTCGCCGTTCAACGGCCACCGATATCTCGAAATCTCGAAACGAGTCGAGAAGGTATGTGCACACGTATGCGCGCACAGTGCCAGAGGCACGTGTATCCGACACGTATACACAGCCGGCGCATGTAACGTACGCGCGGAACCATGATAAATGTGTGTACCGCGCGACGCACGTGACCGCATTAGCAGCAAACCAAGCAGGGCATCGAGAAACCGGCGACGGTGGCATTCGGTATTATTATCGCATTTGGTAACCGCGTACCGCGAGTTTCTATTTTGATCGAATGTTTTGACGTGCGCGTTCCATCCTGCCGGCGGATAAAACACGCGAGATCCTGTTTCGACGAGCCTCGCGGCGTTGCCCCCCCCCCCCCACGTTCCGCAAACGTAATCCGATAGATGATCGAAAGGTGCTACACACCGTTTCTACGCCACTGGACGTGATCGGAATCGCGAGCATACGCCGGGATACGTAAGTACGCGCTGAAATTCGAGCCAAGTCCGGCTACGGTCGAGATCGCGTTACGAGGTACAAATTGCTCGAACCGCATAATAAAGACGTAACGCGTCGAGAATCGGTCGTCGAAAAATAAACGGTCCGTGTGAAAATTTTAATAACGCGTTCCGTTCCGTCCCCATTGGAGATCGATACATTTTTCGGTCGATACTTCCGATCGATCGAATTTGAATCATGAGTCGGTGAATAAAAGAAAGAAAGAAAAAGAAAAAATTATACTCACCGGATGCCTGGCAGCAGCGGCAGCCACAGCGGCGGCGTTGATTCCGGCAGCACTGGGATACATGATTCCTGCGTGACGTTGAACTAATAGAAAATAGAAACACTGTAGTACGTGTTCTTAAATCACGCGAACGAGACGCTTCATGTCACGCGCGACACGCCGATGTCAACGGGATGTACGAGAAGAAACGATAAACAATAACCGATTCGAATTGCCCGCGCGGGCTACGAGAACGACCGACGACCCTTCCGACGGCTCTGTCCGCGGTTCTGTCGACGCGATTCGATCGAGAAGGTCCCCGCCTCGGACGCGCGACGATGATCCATCGGTGTATCCACGATCTGTCACTACCGCATTCTCACCGTGAAACAATAGCCCCGGTCCCGATCGATTACTTTCGGTATCACCAGCTATTTCTATCGCCGGCTACGTTCATTTGAGGTTAGATATGACGCCGACGCCAGCCGCACGAAGTATCCCGTTGGGCACCGAGAGCGTGGCGTGCCCTTTTTACGGTCGGTAAAACAGAGCGATATTAACCACCGCGTTTATGAAAATTTGCCGAGAACGGATACGCTCGTGTTTCCTTTCAGCATCGAACGGAAGAAGAGAAACTCTCCTTCCACGGTTTCACTTCCTCGACGTGGTTACACACCATTACACAGAGAGACACACTTGTACACTTTACAGTTGTTTACTACAGGCAAGAGAGCGGTGTGGCCCGCCGCCACGTTTGAGGTTAAGTTTACCAACACTAGCACTGCACACGTCTTTCCGTTGGTACGCGCGAATACTTCGGGCGTATCGAGCGACGCGCGTCCAGGAGGAGATCGTGGTCGAGCACCCGATTCGAAGAAACCGGTCGAACCCGTAAACGTGAAAGCGAGCACAAACGTTTCGAGCACAGACCAACAGCAAGAACAAACCTCTCTCTACAACGGCCTCGGACCGACTGATGGACGAGCAAGTGGTGGGGATGGTATCCCCTCCAACCCGATCTTTCCGTACCCCCACCTCGGGCAGGCCGTTACTCCACAGTTAAACCCGCCAAGCACCCCCTCGAATGTCTCTCCTCGTTCTCGACGCTCGTATTAACCAGCGCGATAGCTCCTTCACAATTAAGTCGCGTTACGTAAGGGTCTCGAAAAGGCGAGCACGAAAATCACGGCTCGTTAAAACGTCGGTACCGTCCTTCCTCCTGCCTCTCTCTCTCTCTCTCTCTCTCTCTCTCTCTCTCTCTCTCTTTCGCGTCTCCCTCCCCCTTGTTCTTTCTCGCTTTTTGCTTTCTGGCACTCTCTATTTCATAGCACCTGTCCTCTCTATCGTATACTCGATCCGGTTTATCGACCGGCGACGAGCCTCGGATACGTCCATTGTGATTTCGGTGCCATGTTGACACGGCGAGTGACCGGGCAGTACGCCTTCAGGGCCGTTTTAGTTGACCGTAATTAATCGGGTTTAAAATGAACGGTTATATTCGCGTTTAAGCATGACGCGATTGCACGATACATCGATTCTATTATGCACGGTATGCTGCGGACCGTTTACCGCCTAGACCTTTCCGTTTCTTTGTTATAGTTTACGAGGGCCACGACGGACGGACGGGCAAAGGGAGAGAGTGTACTCTCTACCTACTCTACCGATTTCGGTCGGGTCGAACGCGTTGTTCGCCGTAAGCAGCAATTTCTTTTTCTCTCGGTTCGCGTCGATGTTACAGAATTTCACGATCGTTCACTGTTTGTATGTCAATAGAAGATGACACAACGCGCTCGTTTATCATCAACGTTGATTGCATTCGTTTTTTTCCGTTCCACCGACGTCGCTGATACCACGACGGTTAACGAGTGTGTGCAAATAACGTTTGTTGACTACGTTCAACTACCTTCGGAATCTAGACGATTCAAAGTATCAATCTTAAAGAACAGCCGGTGACATAGTAGAGGGAACGGTTCTCGGAATACGTACTTTCTTTCTATGCTGCTCTGCCCCCCTCCCCATTATCTCTTCGCCGGTACTTTTGGCCGAACAGATACGATTGAGGGAGCGAGGGAGGAGGGAGAGGAATACGGACACAGATACAGAGATACATCGTTACTACCTCCGGTATACCGGGGTAATATTGTAACGCGCTATCGTGTATTCAACGAGTGTATACGTCCGACGATTTTTGCAAGTTGAAGCACGAAGACTCCGGAGCCCCGAAAGTTTTCGGTCCCGCAGATACGGTCGAATAAACGAGAGGACAACACGGCGTGCCATGCATACGCGTAGGTATTAGTTGCTTCTCTTTGCTCGTTCAACGTGTGCAAACAAATCGAAAGTTTTTCACAAAATGGCCGTCACCGGGCTGACACGGATGTCCGCATAAACTCTCTCTCTCTCTCTCTCTCTCTCTCTCTCTCTCTCTCTCTCCTACCCCCCTCTGTTCTCTTTTCTCTTTCTCCGTCCGCGCGTCCTTCTTTCTCTACCTCTTTTCCCGTTCGCTCCCGACCATTCCGCCGACTAGCTGCCTCTCTCGCCACTCGTGATTTCCCTTACTTCCCATACCACCACAAATATGGCGCCTCCACCCGTTTTCCCAACCCCTACAACGTGCCTCCATAAAGCGAGAGCGAGAGAGAACGCTAGCGCGGATGGAATACGTACGCGCGCACACAGAGGCGGCCGATGCGATTGTGTCCGGGTATATCCGTGTGTAACGAGCACGATCCTATGCGTGTGGCAAGGGGGTGCCCCTATGTGAATATCGTGCAGCACACAGTCCCAAGCAGTTTCCTACTTGATTGCCGCTATCGTCCGCTCGCTTCGTAAAGGAACTGCTCCGCGCGGACTGCTCCCGCCGCCTCGACCAATCGGCGCGCGTCTAGCCGCTACTTGGCCAATCGGCGCGCACCGGTCCCCACCGGATCCGGCAACCGCCGCAAAGAGTCGAATGAAAGCGCGACCTCGGCCAATCGGAGCGATACTTTTTGAGCCGACGGTCGTACGTTAGATCCGCGCGGAGCGTCGCTCGAGCCCCACGGATGTTCCTATACGGAATGAAGGTGCTACGCGAAGCCGCAGCGAAACATGAAAAATAGGGGGCTACATGAGGAAAAACACGGACCGGGCAGGAAGGAGGAGGGCTCTGCGGGATGGATCCTACGAACCGAGACACCAAAGGCTGGCGCAGCCGTGGTTGTGTGGGGCAGCCAAGAGGGAGGGACGGCCGAGGATAGAGGCCGAGGATGAGAATGGAAAAGTAACATAACGAAACGTCGATCCCATTACCTGGAGCTCTCTCGCCCTGCCGCCAGCGTGCACCGAGCCCTGCTTTCGACCCTTAATCCAAAGGAGGATTAGAAAACCCCATTGTCATGCTTCGCGGAACGCGGGATGGGATATATATACATACGTATGTACAGAAAAGCACTCTGTACAATTTCTCCCCTCCCTGTTGCCTCTCTCTCTCTCTCTCTCTCTCTCTCTCTCTCTCTCTCTCTCTCTTACTCTCTCTCCCTCTCTCTCTCGGTTGCTTTCGCCGCGCAACGAAGGCGCCGGTGCAGGACCCTCCTAATGAAATAAATACGTGACGCGCCGTAGCGACGATGCGATGGTAGTTCTGTTTATCGCCAACCATGAACTTTTTGTGCCGTGCACAGAGACTACGCGTTTTCACCTCCCTGCCTCTCGTTCGCTCGCTCGCCCCCTGATCCCGCCGATTCCACCGTTTTCCTTCCTTTCCCCGTCTCGCTCCAACCCGCGCTGTCTGGTTTCCTTGCTCTTTATCTTGTTCCACGGGGCGAAGAAGGAATATAAGGCACTGCCGTGGAGTGTTGGCGAAGCTGTCGGTCGCGCTTGGTCGGCTGCGGTTTATGCGGAGCCGCCTTGCCTGCCGCCTGCCGCAGCCGGTTTGCGTGTTCGCCCGTGTTCGCTCGGTGGATACGTGTCCTCGGTGCGGCTCGGTGCTCACCGAACGACCATGGACGCTGAGCTACGGAGAGTAAAGAGGAGAGATCGAGGGAGAAGGGCGAAGTAGGACGAAGACGAACGCGCCGGGAGGAAGCGAGGCCGGCGTATATCGCGAAACGCGAGGGTGAGCGAGACGCCGACAGGCGGCAGAACCAGTCGCTGCGGTCGTTGCGGCTAACCGCGCCGGTGCTCTCAACCCGCGGCGACCTCGGTAACCGCACGAAGAATACGACCCCTTTGCGTCGCTGCGAACTTCTCTCGCCAATTCTGGAGAAGCTTTTGCTTTTGCTTTTGCTTTTGCTTTTGCTCTTGCTTTTACTCTTGCTTTTGCTCTTGCTTTTGCTCGCTTCTTTCATTCGCTTTCGTCGCGCGCGAAAATTTATGTACTCCCCAGAAAAAGCCGAAAACTCGAAGACCGATCCTCCCTTTTCTTTTTTTTTCCTTTCTTTCTCGCATAGCCGCGCGTTCCGCATACCCGGGCGCGCGTACCGTGTTTACTTTCGTCGTAATTCCGCGAAAATCGACTCCGCGCAACGCGTTCGCCGGATTATGTTGTTGCACAGAATAGATAATTTGTACGGATAGAAGCAGGTGCGCTAAATCACATGCTTGTTCTCGAGTTTATAATAGTCATCGTTGCGTTCCCGCTAAGAACTCGTCCGCCGCAATGTAAATATTACATCGGCTGCCATTGCACCAGCCGGCCTTCTCTATTTGTAGCCATTGTGCGCGAGAATTTCCTGGCCGGAAAATCGCTGGGAAAAACGTCGAGGAGCTGGTTTAATTAATTATAATTGGCCGAGTGCATTGAGCAACCGCCTCTTCTGGACCAACGTCCACTTCATCTGCCGCGCGAGGGGAGAAGATCTAAGAGCTTGACTTCTGCTTGAATGAGAGTAGTACGTACGTCCCGTCGGCTCGAAGAGGATTTGCGAGGATGATCGAGCGCCGCGGGCAGGCCATTAATACGTTTGAAAGAGCCGTGTCCGCGGCGAATCCTCGAAATAGGTAACCGAACGTCGAATCGCCAGTTAATAACCAGCAATTTGCGCATACGTCGGGGAAACATCGATCAAGTCGTACCGCGAAGGGAAAAACTTATTTATCGAACGCGTGCACAATCGAATTATATAGTATACTTCGACACGAATCTTTTTCGCCGGATTCGTCGATTTTTCCAATTCATTTTTTAATAAAACGAATTTGTTAATGCCTCGGCTCGCGAGGATCTTCCGACGGTTTCCGCCGCACGTTTTCGATCGCAGCTTTCGGTCGAATTTAACCGTTCGCGCGCCAGATGGTTCTGAAAAAACGGGATCGAAAAGCGCCGAAGAGCGCGATAGCGCTCCTTCGATTATGCGTCGAAAAAAGCAGTAAAACATAAAATAAAACGTTACGAATGAAAATATATATATACTATTAATTTAGAATAGGTAACAACAAAATGCAAATCGAATTACTGACGTACACACGCGTCCGAAAGACCGAGCACGTTTCGACAAATTTCGGGTGGGCCGTGAGTCGTCCGTTTCGGCCAAATGCCCTGGCTTTTCTCGACACAAAATCTGACTCGTGGTACGCAAACGGTTAACGTCCGTTGGGAACTTTCGGTTCGAAAAGTCGACGTTCCAAGAAACATTTCTTCCTCGCCCCGGCACGGTACCGTACGGATTCGGTATAATGGTCGTGGGTCGAATTTCCAAACGAACCAACCTAGGTTCGGCCAGGACCTCGTTCCCGCCCGGAGATCGTATCGTGGTATAACAGATGGCTAATATTTGGTCACGAAGGAAAAACAGCTGCTACGGAAAGGCCGATCGACTCTCTCGGACGATATGCCCGCGATTACGAGCCGCGCCGATTTCACCGATCGCTTCCTATACAATTAGCAACTGCGTTTAAAGGTAGAACAACCGAAGCCGAAGAAAACGGCGGAATGTCCGCGGCGCTCCGGGAACAGGAATGCTCGTAGCAGGTAGCTAGAAAAACCGTAGAACGAAGCCGAAGAATGAC